GAGGTATGCCAAAATGTTCAGAAACCATCAAAACGTCGTTTTGAAATTTTCATTTTCGATTTTCGGCCCATTACTATAACTACCCTACGGGAAGTTAATTATTTAATAAACTGCAAAAACTAAATGTTGAGGTATGCCACGTACATCTTTTATTTGTCATGAAAAAAATAATATTTAAAGAGTTGTTATAACAATAAAAATGCATTCTATACAGTACCCGTATTAAAATTCTGCTAACGATTATCATATAATACGCATTTCTTGTATTATAGGTATCTTACCTATATCATATTCACTAAACCTTAAATTCTATATTGTACGCTTTTTAACTACCTATATAGTACGCCTAATAAGCCTAATACGCCTAATACGCTTAATACGCTTAATACGCCTACAACCCCTTATACATTACACGCCCAATATTATTCCTAATCTTACACCTATGTTTCTTAAACGCTAATTTTTCCGAACCCTACCGGGATTCGAACCCGGGTCTGCCGCGTGGCAGCCAACGACCTTAACCACTACACCACCGTAACCCCTACGATCAATCGTCTTTCGAAGCGTCTCGTCGCGACGCCTTTGTATTAATTACCCAATTAATTAGAAAATTAACCGCGGTAACAACAGTGCAGTCCTAATAATATTATTAGTGGGGGTAGCCGATAGAGTAGTGGTTAAGGTGCGCGACCGCCACGCGGAGGTCCCGGGTTCAAATCCCGGTATAGACAATAGATAGGTAGAAATAATAATATAGGGAAAATATATAAGTAATAGAAATTAAGATTTATAAGAAGTAATAGGTATGTAGGGATATAATAAGTTAAGGTATCTCACGGTATGATAGATAATAGATATATTATCTATGATATATTATAATATAGTATAATATACATACATACATACATATATATATATATATATCATATAGTAATATGAATATATATATATATATATATATATATATATATATAGTATATATGAATATATATATATATATATATATATATATAGATAAAATATATATATATATATATATATATATATAGATATATATATATAAAATATATATATATATATATATATATATATATATATATATATATATATATATATATATATTTATATCTCTCTATATGATATTACATATATATTGATAGATAATGATAATCATATGATAGATAATAGTTTGATTATCTATTTTTATATGATAATAAATATTTGTAGGTGTTAATAAATACAATTAATACCAGAATAAATATAATTATGGCTATTAATGGATATAAATTATGTACTCAAAGACTTCCTTACACTTGCACAATTTAATGTATAGACTAGCTGTATATAATAGAGTTAATTAATAATAAGTCAATATATTAGTTTTGCGAGTTCTTATAGAAATATATCGATCATCTTTAAAACCTAAAATCGGTGCAGCCGCTTTTGAGAATTTATTGTGATTTGTAATATCTTTGGGACCTTCTGGAAAATCACAAATCAATTTGTTTTGAAGTTTTCAGAAACAATAACTGTCATATCACATACTTTTCAAAATTTATAACTGTCAAAATTAATGGAAATTTTTAAAATTCTAATATTTGGGATATGAACTTTTTTAATAAGTTTTTAATATAGCTTATAACCTAAGTTGGACTTGAATGCATATAGAGCCAAAAAATTCAAAATCAGTTCAGTAGTTTAGGAGTACATTGCGGTCAAACATCCTAACACGTGATACAAACTTACATTAAATTAAATTTCTTGTACAAAGAATCATCTTTCAAATGTATTTCAAAATTTAAATAAGTTATTTATCAATTTTTACATTGTGATTTGTAATATATTTGGCATCTTGTCCTATCAAAGTGAAATCGAAATATAAATCACAAATTTCACATACTTCTTAAAAATCACAACTGTCAAAATTGATAAATTTTCAAAAATTTTGGTATTTCTAGTATAAACTTGGATTTAATACAGCCTATAACCTAAGTTGCATGTAAATGCAGACAATGAGCCAAAAAAAAATCAAAATCGGTTCAGTAGTTTAGGAGCCTATCGCGGTCAAACATCCTAACACGTTATAAAAACACAGAAACATCGACTTTTCACATTGTTCTTAAAATTCATTACTGTCAAAATTAATGGAAATTTCTAAAATTTTAATCTAAAATCGGTTCAGTAGTTTAGGAGTACATTGCGGACAAACATCGTGACAGGTTGTTCAAACACATTAAATTAACTTCAAACAAATTTCTTGCATATACAACCATTAGAAAATTCATTTGAGTCATTTATAAATTTTTATACAATCAACTTTACATTGTGATTTGCAATATATTTGGGACTTTGTCGTATCTGAATGAAATCAATTTGTCTAAGTTTCCAGACAACTATTTCACATTGTTCTTAAAATTCGTAACTGTCAAAATTAATAGAATTTTTTAAAATTTTAGTATTTTCAGTATGAACTTGGATTTTTAATATAGCCTATGACCTAAGTTGCACGTAAATGCATACAATGAGCCAATAAAATTCAAAATCGGTTCAGTAGTTTAGGAGTACATTGCGGTCAAACATTTTAACACATGATACAAACTTATACTAAATTAATTTGAAACTGCACACACAACCATCTTTCAAATGTTACAATGTCAACTGCCATTTCCAGTATGAACTTAGATTTTTATTATAGTCCATAACCTAAATTAGACTTGAATGCATATATTGAACCAAAAAAATTCAAAATCGGTTCAGTAGTTTAGAAGTACATTGCGGACAAACATACTACCACGTTATACAAACTAAATTACAAATAAATGTCTCAGTTTACAGAAAGAAATAACAACTGCCATTCCACAGTGTTTTGTTTTCTTGAAATTCATATCAAAATTAATTGAAATTTTAAAATTTTTACAATTTTCACGATGAACTTGGATTTTTAGGATAGCCTATATCCTAAGTTGCATGTAAATGCATACAATGAGCCAAAAAAATCTAAAATCGGTTAAGTAGTTCAGGTGTACATTGCGATCAAACATCGTAACACGTTATACAAACACATTAAATCAATTTCTTGCACATACAAACGTCTTTCAAGTCAATTACAAAATTTAAATGTCATTTATCAATTTTTTTTACAAACGACTTTATATTGTGATTTGTAATATCTCTGGGACCTTTTGGTGAATCACAAACCAATTTCTCAAAGTTTCACATACTTTTTAAAATCCGTAACCGTCAAAATTAATAGAATTTTTTAAAATTTTAATATTTCCAGTATGAACTTGGATTTTTAGGATAGCCTATATCCTAAGTTGCATGTAAATGCATACAATGAGCCAAAAAAATCTAAAATCGGTTCAGTAGTTCAAGAGTACATTGCGATCAAACATCCTAACACGTGACACAAACACACTAAATTAGCTTTGAACAATTTTTTTGCAAACACATCCATGTCTCAAATGTATTACAAAATTTAAATAAGTCATTAATCATCAAGTCATTAATTTGTATCAAAGTTTTTGGAAAAATTGACAACTGTCAGTTTGCAGTGTTTTTCTGAAATTTATCTGTCAAAATTATCAGGAATTTTAAAAATTTTACCATTTCCAGTATGAACTTGGATTTTTAATATAGCCTATAACCTAAGTTGGACTTGAAAGCATACAATGACCTAAAAAAATCAAAAATCGGTTCAGTAGTTTAGGAGTACATTGCGGACAAACATCCTAACACGTGACACAAACTTACACTTGTGGCATCCTCCTGACATCTAGCCATAATTGAATAAAACAAAAAGTGATCTGATTAATCGCAATCATCTTTTGTTTACAAGTCGGAAAAATATTTTTTATTCCTCAAGTTTATATATTTCTATTTCTGACGAAATTATTATTAGTCTTACAAACTATACACTAAATGAACTTTAAACAAATTTCTTGTAGTGTAAATCACAAATCAAATTGCTTCGAAGTTTTCAGAAATATTGACAACTGTCAGTTTGCAGTGTTTTCTTAAAATTCGTAACTATCAAAATTATTAGAAATTTTTGAAATTTTAGTATTTCCAGTATGAACTTGGATTTTTGTTATAGCATATAACCTAAGTTGGACTTGAGTGCATATATTGAGCCAAAAAAGTTCAAAATCGGTTTATTAGTTCAGGAATACATCGCGGTCAAACATCGTGACACGTTGTACAAACTTACACAAAATTAATTTCTTGCACATACAAACGTCTTCCAAGCCTATTACAAAATTTAAATGAGTTTTTTATATTGTCAAAATTAATAGAAATTTTCTAAAATTCTAACATTTCCAGTATGCACTAAAATTTTTAATACAGCCTATAACCCAAGTTAGACTTGAATGCACACTTTGAGCCAAAAAATTTCAAAATCAGTTCAGTAGTTTAAGAGTACATTGCGGACAAACATCCTTACACGTGACACAAACTTACATTAAATCAAATCTCTTGTACATAAAACAAAAACATTGGCAACTGCCATTATACATACTTCATAACTGTCAAAATTAATAGAACGCTAAAATTTTAGTATTTCCAGTACGAACGATGATTTTTAATATAGTCTATAACCTAAGTGGGCTTGAATGCATAAAATGAGCCAAAAAAGTTCAAAATCGGTTCAGTAGTTTAGGAGTACATTGCGGATATACATCGTGACACGTGACACAAACTTACAGTAAAGTAAAATTAATCAAATTTCTTGCACATACATCAACAGAAATATTGACAAGTGTCATTTCACATACTTTTTAAAATTCATAACTGTCAAAATTAAAGGAATTTGCTGAAATTTTGATATGCCGAATATGAACTGAGATTTTTAATATAGCCTATAACCTAAGTTTGACTTGAACACACACTTTGAGCCAAAAAAATTCAAAATCGGTCCAGTACTTTAGGCGCCTATTCCGGACGTTACTACAAACATAACAAAAATCTATCATTAATGAGTCATTTATCTTATGACTTACCACCATGCCGCACGTAAGCGTGATGCCCCTTCCGCAGTACGTGTTGGGCACAATGTCGCCATATCCGACGCAAAGGAAAGTGATGGCCGTTAGCCACATCGAATTCAACAAATTTGCATGCTCTTCATCATGGAATCTTTGAAGATTTGACGATTTTCGGTATTCGATCGAATGGACAAAGGCGATAAAAAAAAGAGAAAAAAATGCGTTAGTGTTTTTGCGATTGCAGAATCTATTCGACGAGATACGGTGGAGATGTCTCCACCGTACTAAACGGACGAGTTTGACGTAGTAAAAGATGCAGTTAATAAAAGTTTTAGTTGGTAAATGTTTGGTTAATGGATATAACGATAATTTTGTTTTGTGAGTTATGCACGAAGTTTGATGGTAGACAGAGAGCTGGCGATGGTGATTTTGTAAATAAAATGAATGTAGATGTGATGTAAATATACATAAGTTAGCTCCCAGGGGCTCAAAAGCTTCCAAATTGATAAAACAAAGTTCTCTGAAAGTTTCAGCTTCAAATATTAACTTTAGGATAGTCCGCAATTAAACAAAAATTTCTTGGTTCTTCGATCTAAGTGAATACTTACTTAATAAAATATATTAAATTCCTATTGTAAACTTTTTATTTGTGATCAAAATAAGCAAAAACAACGTTATTCTCAAAATTTTGATTCACTCGTCGCTAAGTTATGGAAATTCTAAATAAAAATTGAATTTTACCCATGTTATTTCTATAAGAAACTTTGATTGAATTGCGGACTATCTAAAAGTTAATATAAAGAGCTAAAACTTTCAGAGAATTTTTTTTCATCATTTTGAAAGCATTTGAGCCCCTGGAAGCAAAAAAATCCATATTAAGGACCACCCTAAATATAATATACAAATGAATATAATCAACATATATAATAAATGAAAAATTAATGAATAAATAAAAAAATAATACATTTTTTTATATAATAATAATATAGTATTGAAAATATAAAGCATAAAATTATGATGATAGAAAAAATTATAAAATTAATCCTTTCTACTCGAATGCCGTAAATAAATACTAAATTCCGGAATAAGCGAGTGTAAAGGGTTAATATTATTTAATTCATGATTTATGAATAAGAAAGAACTAGAATTCAAAACTTATTAAAATATAAATTATAATTTAATTTAATATTTCAGTATTATTATAATACTGAAATATTAGATTATAAAATTATAACTAATAAAAATTAAAAATACAATAAGTATAAAAAACTTTTAAAATGCTAATAAATCGAATTAAAAATAATTAATTATTATCTTGTTATTAGATATTAATATCTAATAAATATTAAAATAAAGTTATCAAATTAAAAAATCGATCTTTTTTAAAAAAATAAAAATATTAAAATGTAAAATAAGTAATAAATTAGATATGGAAATGATTTTAAAATTTAAAATGAGTATTATTAAAATAAAAAAATTAAGATATTAAAATTGCAAAAAATCGTAATTTAACAATTTAACTTGAATATTTAATAAATATTAAAATAAAGTTATAAAATTAAAAAATCAATATTTAAAAAAAAAAATATTAAATGTAAAATAAATAATAAACTAGATATGAAAGTTTAAAATGTTAAAATATAAATTATTTTGATACAAAACTATTATTAATAAAATTAAATTGCGGCTAATGATATTAAAATTTAAAATAAGTATTATTAAAATAGAAAAAAAATAAGATTTAAAAAATTAAAGATATTTAATAAATTTAAATTTAAAAAAATTAAGATATTTAATAAATATTAAAATATAAAATTAAAATTAAAATATAAAAGTTATATAAATAAATATTTAATATCTTTTTTACAAAAAATATAAAAATGTATAAAATAAGTAATAAATTAGATGTGGAAATTTTAAATTTCAAGATATAAATTATATTGATACAAAACTATTAATAATAAAATTAAATTGCTAATGATATTAAAATTTTTAAATTAAAATTAAAATAAGCATTATTAAAATAAAAAAAATAAGATTTTACAATAACAAAAAATAGTAATTTAACAATTTAACTTGCATTTTTAATAAATATTAAAATAAAGTTATGAAATTAGAAATCAATATTTAAACAAAAAAAAATTAAATGTAAAATACAAAAATTAATTACATATGGAAATTTTAAATGTTAAAATATAAATTATATTGATACAAAACTATCAACAATAAAATTAAATAACATCTAATGATATTAAAATTTAAAATAAGTATTAATAAAATTCGAGATATTAAAATAACAAAAAAATTCAATTAAAGAATTTGAAATTTAAAAACATAATAAAAAATAGAAAAATAAAAATTATTAAGTAAGACAATGATAAAAATAAATAATATAATTAGATATTGAAATATAAAAATTAAAATACTAAAATAGTACATAGTCAAAACCTTTAGAATGTTAGAATTATAAAATATTGTAATTAAAAAAATATTCATAATATTAGAAATCTAATTAGAAAAATTAAAAGTTAAATTTGATTATAAAAATAAAAAAGTAATTATAACTAAAAAAACAATAAATGAATAAATATTAGTAATTTTTGCAAAATGTAAAAAAATTAAAACTAAATCGTTAAGAACATGAAATAGTAAACTGTTAAAGTTAATAGAAATATTAAATACGTAAAATAATAATCTTATCAAATAATAATAATAATGATCAAATTATTATTAAATAAAATCAAAAATTAGATTAAATTGTTTAATTTGTTCATAAATAAAATGAAAATAATTAAATAAAATAATATGAAAAGTTTTATATATGTATATAATCCAAATGACAAATAAATTTGGCGAATGTGTTACCAGATCTCTGTCTATTACCATATTTTGTTTTTTTGGGGGTAAAATATCTTTAAATATAATATAATTATTTATAAATATATAAATAAATTTTACTTATATTGAGACAATTTTGTCATGTATTATTAATTCTGGCATTAATAGTAAAATAATTAAGTAAATATATATAATATTTAAATAATTTTATGAAATTAACATAAAAAAATCAATAAAAGTTTCTGCAATTTCAAAATTACTGAGAAATTATTTGTCGTTATATCCTTTAACATAAAACATGTTTAACAAAACATATTTTGCTAAAATTTGCGATAAACGATATGTTAACAATCATATATACAAACTACAATTTTATCAAAATATAATTTCTATCTAAAATATAATTATAAATTAAGAACATTAACGCAAATAATTTAAGTATAAAAAATTCATGACAATAAATAAAAAATGTATAAAAATGAAATAAATATAGAAAACTTATATTAATGAATAAAATTAAAAAACAAATACAAAAAAATACTTTTTTGTAAACTTTTTGTAAAATTTAAAAAAATTAAACTGTTTGATAAAATAAAAATATATATGTAACTGTTTTTGTATAAAATATTTCTTGTTTAAAATAAATATTTTTAAATATATACAAAACTCAAAAACAAAATTTTGTCATATAGGTACATACATTATACACTCTTGTATAATATGTATATAGTTTAAAGTATATAATTCATTGATAAATATTTTATTTAATTTTTTTTCTAAAAAAACTGCATCTTTTTAATACGTCAACGCTCGTCCATTACACTAACGGCTTTGAAATTACATTTGTGGAATTCGGGTGACTAAACGGCTTGATAAAAATATATAAAAAAATTATAATGATACTAATATATAGTAATATTAATATTTAATAACATACTTTAATGTTTTTGTAAACTTATGAGTTGTATATTTATATGAAAGAAAGTTTCTTTTATGTTCAAAATAATTTTTGAATATAACAAGATACAGAATTACCCACTTCCCTTAAATTTTCGGAATTCAGGTGACTAAACGGCTTAAGAAAAATATTAAAAATAATATGTAATACTACTAATACAAAGTAATATTAATATTTTTTAATATACTACAAAGTATCAGTAAATTTTGTATTTAAAAATTTGTTTAGAAGAAAGTTTCTTTTATGTTCAAAATAATTTTTGAATATAATAAGACATAGAATGACCCATTTCCTTTAAATTTACAGAATTCAGGTGACTAAACGGCTTGAGAAAAATATTTAAAAAAATATATAATACTACTGATACACAGTAATATTAATATTTAATAACATAATTTAGTGATTTTGTAAACTAATGAGTCATATATTTCTTCAGAAAAAAGTTTCTCTCATGTTCAAAATGATTTTTGAAGATAATAATACATAGAAAGACCCACTTTCCATAAATTTTCCCAAATGACTTTTGTAATTACTAATGAGATGTAATATTAAATTTATTTAATTTCATCGTTTTTTTAGTACTCATTTAAGTTTTGTTATTAATTAGCACAAAAAAAACTAATATTTTTTATAAATTTCTTAACACGAATTGAGTTAGTTACGAACAGTTTTGTTCATGAAGACAAGTTTTTGATTTTGTTTTTATTGATTGGTTTAATTGAATTTAATTATATATATATATATATATATATATATATATATATAACTATTGCTTAATGATTCTCCATTTATAACACAATTTAATCCCATAAAATATCCCAAAGCAAATAATAATTGCATTTTAGGACGAATCGAAAACTCATCAAATGCAAATCAACTGCATTATTTGTTATGTTAATGGCTCTCATTAATTATAATAATGCAAACTGTGTTAAAATAACAATTTATTGCACTAAATTTATGCTAATGGAATATATTGAAAGCTGCCATTAGGCCAAAGATAATTTATACATTTGATAAAGTGAATAAATTCATCGCAAAAGTAAAATTTTGCGTGGTACAAAAGTTAGTAGAAAGAGTATAGTATGTTGACATTTAAGAAACAATAATTTAGTTTGTACTGAACCGATTTTGGTTTATATTTTAACGAATAAATTTGATTTACTAGTGTTATGTTTTCTTGACGTTTCAAGCCATTCTGGATCGTTTGACTACAATTTTGTCCTCAATAGTACTTTACTTGCACTGAAGAGATGAGTATTTAATTATGATAGTAGGCGTTTAAAATTTTGTACAAATTTTGTATAAATTGTAAATTATTTTTTTTTCAAATTCTGCTCTCAATGTGATCATTC